GTGAGCCACCGCACCCGGCCTCTTTTTCTCTTTTACCTCTCTACCTGAGCATGAGGTAGAGATTAGAATTGCTACCCCCAGATATACCATTTGGCATAAGGATTATTTTGAGCTGAAGGCAATTGAAAAACAGCAGATGCAAAAAGAGCCCTTTACCTTCCCCCTGTAGGCCTAAAAGCAGGACATAAATATCCCTTTGTGAAGGTGTCCGTCTTCCCCTTTCCTGTACCAGGAAGAGGAGAGCGATTCTGAATCACCAGAGAAGACTTTATCACTGGAGATAGTACCAGCCTGAGTCTGCATAAATAAGCCTTACTAAAACAACACTTATATTTCATTAGTTTCTACCATGTATATGTACCTTTCCATAATTTACCACCCCTTGAAGCCCAAACCCTTTTTCCTTTCTCTAGTCACTTCTCTGCAGTTTATTACCCTTTGTTTAAATGATATATAAGCTCCCAGGTCTAACCACCTCTTTGGGATTTTACTTTTTTTCTGTGAAGCCTTCCTGTGCATGTGAAATAAATTTTTTCTCTTGTTAATTTGTTTTTTGTCAGTTTAATTCGCTGGCCTCAGTTACTGAACCGAGGAGGATAGAGGGAAAGTCTCCCCTACCCAAACATCAAGGCTAAGAAATTAATTCTGTGGTGTATAGATTGTCTTTTTTTAAATGTAGTTTTATAGTTAGTCTCTGCATGTGTCATTTTCTTTTTGGAAGTTAAATTCAAGTGGAAATCTGTGTAAACCAAAATGTTTTCAGTATTTTAGGCATATAAATGACTTATAAATGCCTTTTTTGTATGCTGCACATCAAATGAAGTATGGTTCATGTAACCTGAAGTATGGTTGGTACTTAAAAGTAAAATCAGCAAAAGATCTTGAAAGCAGGCACCTTGCTATCTTAACAGATGAACATTAATCTAGACAGCAAGGGACTATGTATTTTGTACATATTTGAAATCACTATTCTCAATTGTGGTTATCCAAACAGTTTGTTTCTTTTATGTGTTTATTAAATAGAAGTTGAAATTACTGTACGTACTTTGAAATGGATTTGATTTTTCCCAAAATAGCTTTTATTGCTGTAGAAGGAAATCCAGACATAGTAGAGCAGTCTTTAGGAAAGTCATAAATTGAGGGTTTGTTTCTATGGTATGCACTTAAAGTAAAGCAATATTTTAGACTGTTTGAAAAACTTTACAGATAAGAAAAATACTTTTGGAATTCCCAGTGGAATGGTTTGCCAAGTACCCATGACTCCCTCCCCACCCCACCCCACACCTTAGGTTCTCACGACTTTCAGACAAAAACTTTGGTTTGTTTTTGGGTTTCAATTTCTTGTTCCATTTGAATGACTTTTATCTTTAGGAGCCTAAGTTCAAAGTGTGCCTTCCCTCTGATAAATATTTTTTCTCCTTATTGTTTACCATTAGCATCATCTGGAAGTAGGTGTTTTTGAGGCTTAAGTTGTGATGGGTAATCAAGGACAGTAATCACTATATTTTAAACATGTTCAGAGAGAAACTCAGCATTAGTAGAGAGAGTTTTAAGCAATGGTAAATCTGAGGGATAGGTAAATCCATGCTCTGGACAGACTTGCTATGTAGAGAATATTTGTCTCAACAGATTTCTTCTCTGTAAACAACAGGGGGCATTATCATGTGCTTTTCACTTTCCAGTGGCTAAAACAGTGCTTTATCTGTGTTGAAGGGCCAGCTGAGGCTTTTAAAATTTCCAACCTTTTGTGGAGCAATATTTTTGTAAAATGCAATTTAAATGAATTATTAGAAAAATGAAATAGGAAAAAACCCAAAGACAAAAGTCCAAATTGGTCAAGGCAATATCAAATTGCTGTGAAAGTTTCTAAATGTACATTCTCAACTTGTATATTTATTTGGCTGTGGATTAGTAACAAGAGTTTGTGGATTGGCATCAGTCCATGGAATATACTTTGAGAAGCTTGGGTCTAAATTACTGCTTCTCAGTACTTCAACTCAACCACACTAATCACGGGGAGAGGCTGAAGGCCAAGGGAGGGGACTAGCTCTTAAATTGTCATGTTTTATTTTAATCTTATGTATTCTGATCTACCCTATAGCCATGTTTGTGCTGATATGGAAATAATATTTCAAAGTTGTCTGTTGCTTTCAGGAACAATATTTAAGCTTTTTTTCCTCAAATCTTTGAGTGATATATTTGGTACATTTGCCCTCTGTTTACCTTTATCTTTGCAGTGTCTGTTTGAGTTACATTGGTTAGGCAGCTTACAGAATAATACTCTGTGCCTTTGATAATTTTACAATGGGAGATCTCTTCCTGCCATGCCACATGACAGCCATGTAGGAGGAGCCATGACTGAACAGACTGGCTCCTTACTTGAATGAACTGTATGACACAGAGGCCAGTGAGTTCAAGAACTCTGTGATCTGGAGGACCTTTTTCAGAGGGGCTTCTGTATTTTGACTGAAGAAAAGAAATTTCTGGCAGATGTGGTGGCTCATGTGTATAATCCCAGTGCTTTGAGAGGCCTAGGTGGGAGGATCACTTGAGGCCAGGAGTTTGAGACCAGCTTGGGCAACACAGCAAGACCCCATCGCTACAAAAAAGTTTAAAAAAATTAGCCAGGTGGTGGTGCACTCTTGTAGTCCCAGCTATGAGGAAGGCTGAGGTGGGAGGATTGCTTGAGCCCAGGAGTTCCAGCCTGGGTGACAGAACAAGACCCCGTCTCTTAAAAAAAAAAAGTTTCAATCTCTGCTCTCTGCTCAATTGTTAGTGGGAAATAATGAAATGGCATTTTAAAACAACAGCTTTATTGAGATACAATTCACATATCATACAATTCACCCATATAAAGTATACCATTCAGTGATTTTTAGTGTATTCACAGAGTTGTGCAACTATCACCACAATCAATTATAGAACATTTTCATCATGCCAAAAAGAAACCCCATCAATAAATACATCTCCCTCCCACCAGTGCCACCCCCTCTCCTCCTAGCCCTAGGCAACCACCTATCTGCTTTCTATTCTCTGTTGATTTATCTATTCTGGAGATTTCATATAAATGGAAGAAGTATTTTTGAAGTCCATTTGACTTGAGAGAGCTAGTATGATAGAGTGGTAAAGAGTGCTAGTATCAAAGTCAGACTTACTGGGTTTAAATTCTTACCCTTCCATTTAGCAGATTTATTTCTTTGAATGATTACATAACCTTTCTGTGCCTTGGTTTCCTTCTCATAATCAGGGATAATAATGGGACCTATTTGAGAAGCACGAGGACCAAATGAGTTAATATATCTAAAACATTTAGAACAGTGCCTGGCACCAGAGTAAGCACTCAGTGAATATTAGTGCTTAACCCATATATTGGAAGGGGAAAAAATCACTCTGATATAGTGTCAAAATAATTACAGTTATTTCTTGGTATAAGCAGGGGATTGATTTCAGGACCACCCTCATTGCCAAAATTTATGCACACTCAAGTCCTACAGTTGGCCCTGCCAAACCTGCATATAAGAATAGTTGGCTCTGGGTATAGATGGGTTTCACATCCCACAAATACTGTATTTTCCATCCACCCTTGGTTGAAAAAAAGCCCACGTATACACGGACCTGCACAGTTCAGTCCTGTGTTGTTCAAGAGTCAACTGTTTAATAATTTTGACCTGGGCATCTATTTTATTGCTGTTGTAGAAACATATTTAGTTATTTGGAAGAGGAGGTTACAGAAAATTTCTAGGTTTTAAGGGTATAGGATTGTTAATTCTGTTTTCCAGGCTAGTAGAGATTGTGTTAGATAAATGAAAATGAAATTTTTCCTAAAACAGTGAGGTCTTACTGAGCAGATTTGTTGTTCCCTTAATACCTGCTACTCTTTCAAGGGGAGGGTTTACATTGCTCTTGATCGAGAACCTGGTTAAGGTGTATTTTCCTTGGAGAGCTGTCATTTAATCTTAAAATTTATGTAAATTAATCTTTATTCCTTGGTTTATAAAAGAAAGGCCCATTTCCATTAAAATTTTTTCCATTTTTAAGTGAATCATCAGAAAGCTATGGTGTTCACAGCATAACTTTTAAATCTTTTTGGATCTCTCTAGATCTTTAGTTTTCTTAGTAAGCATATTAGATAAGATGCTGGGAATTCAGTACACTCATAGATCAGTTATGGCATTTTATTTTAGAATCTTTGAATGTTACTGCTGTAAGTGACTTTAGAGATTACCTAATAGTAAGTACCCCTTGCTTTCGTTGACAAGGAAATGGAGGGTAAGTGACATCTTTTTTTGTCGTGGTGATGGTAAATAACACACAACATAAAATTTACCATCTCATCTTACAGTCCTGGAGGCTAAAAAAAAAAAAACACAAGAGAAATAAATTTACCATCTTAACCATTTTCAAGTATACAGTACAGTAGTGTTAACTATATGTACATTGTTCTGCAACAGATCTCTAGAATTTTTTCATCTTGCAGAACTATTTCCATTTTCTTCTAATTCTAGGAGGTAGGGGAAAAAACTGTATCCATTAACAAATTCACTTTTCCCCCAACTCCCCTTAGCCCCTGACAGCCACCCTTCTACTTTTTGTTTCTAAGAGTTTGACTGTTTCAGATACCTCAAATAAATGGAATGATGCAGTATTTGGTTTTTTGTTTCTGGCTTATTTCATTTAGTATAATGTCCTCAATATCCATCCATGTTGTAGCATATGACAGGATTTCCTTCTTTTTTAAGGCTACATAATATTCCATTGTATGCATATATCCCATTTTCTTTGTTCATTCATGCATTGATGGATGTGTCCAGCTCTTGGGTATTGTGAATAGTGCTACAGTGAACATAGATGTGCAAATATCTCCCAGAGACCTTGTTTTCAGTTTTTTCGGATATATACCCAGAAGTGAAATTGCTGCATTATATGAGAATTCTATTTTTAATTTTTTTGAGGAACCTCCATACTGTATTCCATAGCAGCTATACCATTTTATTAATACATTCATACCAACAGTGCACAAGAGTTCTGATTTCAC